GCACCCATGTGAAATGATCAGAAATTAAACATTTTCCGGCAACAGACAAAGCAACTACGACAAAGAATTATTTTGATTACCATCATCACCTGATACACCTGTAGGGCCTAAATGTTTTCTATGTTTGAATAAATCTCCATTAGGTCTTGATGTAGTTGTTGAACCATATAATGTGTGCTGTATTGTGAGCTCACCTTCTTAAATCTCTCTTTTGTTGTCTCTGTCAGGTTGGTATAGAACTGTGACTGTGAGTGGGCGAGTCCTTACGATATGATATGAGGCAGGGTAAGAACGCGACAGATCCTGTCTTGCGTATTTATAATGCTGAACTGGTGTTAAGCTTATTTCATTTTACATTATGATATATTTGATGTATTTGTCATGATAGTTAAAGAGTTGACTGTAATTATCTTCGCCTGTTACTCATTAATTCAAATTATATGTATTATATATTTGCCTGCTTTATTGCGGAAAAAATAATATCAAGGAAGTGTGTTATGACAGCATGATTACCGTTTGGAATTAAAAAAATAGCTCACTTACTTGTTTCGGTATTTCCATTTTTTACTTATGATTGTCAAATGTACCAAAATGCTTCTACATTTTCCATCGTCAAACATTTAATCCGTTTCATCTATTATCAGCAAGGGAGATTTTAGGGTACCGCTGATGCATTTATCATTGTGAATTACAATTTCATGTTCACGTCCTTCTTTGGTCCATGTGATATTTGACGCTGATGGTTCCGCAATAACATTTTAAAACAGCAACTTCTCCTTCAGTTTGAAAGTGTTCTTGTGGCTCCATATTCAGCGTTTTTTCGGCTACTTGCATTCGTAACTCCTGTTTCGTGTTTTTGCATTTCGTTTCGCATTTCCATAATTTTGTGTATCAGTAACAGTGAACATCTAGAGGGACGCTATCCCAATTGAGCTATCTGGTCGCCGTCGACCGACCCAGTCCAGTTCCGCTACATATACATGTTTATGCCATACTGACTAATATTTACCATCGTATGGAATTGCCACTATGTAACTCTACCAAATTTTGTTGGCATTCATATAGGCTAAGAATGCCATGGACAGATTGCTGACGTCATCATTAATATGACGTCATAATTGTTACGTTGAATAACCCTCCCTGAGCGACAGTTGTTCTATTCATTCAAAAATTCAAAAAAGCATGCACGATACATACACTGTTTGAACAAAATGCTGAACAATAATACGCGTAATTGAATTTTCTATGAGATAGTCCAAGCAAGCAAACAAGCCCAACATGAAGCACGTTCGCGCTTCATTGAATTTGCCTTTGTCCAGTTGGCTTTCATATTGCCAATGAATGCCACCTGGGAGCAGTTCAATGCTTCATAAGCCTTTCTAATATTATTTTATACCTTTACCTGATGAACAGTTGTTGTCTAAATCACTTTTTCACAATCAAAGGTAACTTAATAATGCTAAGATGAATTTTATTTTAAGTGACAATTTAGAATTAAGAAAATGCATTTTCAATTATTAACAACTTTACAGTATCAGCATTTAAACATTTTAAGTTAAATATGGTTGATAATTTGTAAAACGTAATTGAAAAATCCAAACATTTGGTATAGGATAACCTTGACCAATTCAATCTGTGGTAGCTATTTTATCATAAACGTGGACTTTCTCCTATGACGTGGAGTTCAGCAGCACACCCAGCATTAGTCGTTTTCTGTGAGAGATGCCTGGTATGTGCATGATTTGTATACAACCAAGTACCATTGATTATAACTGAAGGAATTGTAATTGTAGAGATATAAGATAATTATTTAATTCAATGCTTTCTCTTTGTTCAGATATCTTAACCGGTGTTATCAAAGACATAACGTCTGTGCGGTTTATCTCTTTGAAAGAAACCAGCTGATCACTTTTATTAGAACTATATGGTATGTGAAACATTCATTTTTATTAGAGCTTTATGGTATGTGAAACATTCACTGTTATTAGAACTATATGGTATGTGAAACATTCACTGTTATTAGAGCTATATAGTATGTGAAACATTGACTTTTATTAGAGCTATATAGAATGTGAAACATTGACTTTTATTAGAGCTATATAGTATGTGAAACATTCACTGTTATTAGAGCTTTATGGTATGTGAAACATTCACACGATGGTTCCTTATTTAGTTGTTTTAACTTCCATTCTGGCGTCATCATTGGTAGGGGGCGCTACTACGACCCGAACATCGGCGTCCACAATGGGGCGCCAGTGACTGTGTTCGATGTAGAAGTAGGACGAGTCTACAGGTTCCGGATCATCAACGCTGGCATGGTGTTGATTAATAACCATACCCGTGTTGTCATAACATCAGATGATTATAATACCTATAGAAGTGGACGCTTCGATCGTATATCCGGGTAAGAGATATGACGTCATGTTGATAACGCTAACAGAAAAAAAATAGATTCGTGCTAGGACGTTGGTGGCAGACGCCAAACTCAGAACAGAAGCTACTTTAAGATATAATGGTGCTCCTCATGACATGGATCCGACCATCACAGGGAAGAAATCCTCTAGTGCTAGCCCTTGCCGTGTTTTAAATTGTCCATCATCAAATATGCCACTAAAATTACACATGGATTGTCTCACATTCAACAACATCAGGTCCCTGCCATATAGACTCATTTCATCAGTTCACCAGTCCATGTGGCAGGGTCTTTCTCAAATCCAACTCGTCCGTCAAATTTTACTCATACATTCGGGCCCGTATTCATGAAACTGTTGTCATGCTCAAGCATTGATTTTGTGTTAAAACATCATTTCTTCTTTAGGTTAAAAATTGGGGGAAAAAAATGTCAATGACTCGGAAAAAACTTTGAAGAGACTGAAAGCTGAATACTATTTTCAATGTTTACATTTGACTTTGTGATCGTTTGATATGATTTAAGTGAGTTACAAGAAAGTTGGTTTGAGCACAAAACCTTTATACATTGTATTCCATGCTTGAGCTTGAGAACGGTTTCATGAGTACGGGCCCTGATGGCCGTTTCGAAGAGATATTTCTCAATTTTGCTTTTCCCGGGACTTCCATGAGACCTGGCTCTTTAAATGGAAAACGGTTTAAATTTCCAGACGTTTCGGGACTGACTCAAATGGATGAAATAAACCCGCGCCAGCTGTGTGAGAATGCCGACTGTATGCAATCTCTAACTCTGAACTAAAATGATATCGTTAAGATGGTGTTTTCTAGATATGGGCAAAGGGCGAGGCTTTGGACACCCCATTCAAATACACAGGTTTGCATTCAAAGTCTTTTAAACCGCATCTGGGTTCACGATGAAAATGGACAGATTTCTGAAGTAAAATTGGGTAATGACACTTTCTTCATGGGCAAATGGAAATACTCCGGGTTTGAAACTACAACGAACTCCGGTAAAGGATAAGATAATTGCTCCAGCTGGCGGATATGTTGAAGTACGGATAAGGGCATACAGCCCAGGACTGAGGATAATGCACTGTCATGTTAAACTCCGTTCCATATATGGAATAGCAATTGTATTCAACGAATCGTTCTCTGTTGTTCCAAAACCACCTCCTGGTTTCCCTGAATGCAGGAGCTTTCTTCCGTCAGCAGTGACTTCCGGTACTTGTCACAAGAGGTCACCTTCGTACATGATTCTGGATATCGGTAGCCATGGAGACAAGCCTGGTTCATACGCCGGTAAGTGGTCAGTAACAGAGTAGGGTATCAGGCTTCAACATTCGAATTGCGCCTGACTATTGTCTTTTTTTTAGTACTAGTATTTACAAGCTAAGATTTTGCCAATTCACAGTGACACCCTATCATGTGTTGTTGACAGATGAAGCGTAGAATTCTGTTTTTTTACATCTTACGCAAACATCGAGAAAACCCTGTGACCCATGTAACCTTGAAAGGTACCAATATCATATATTTAAATACAGTTAAAAGTCCGTGTATCCATGCTAGCTAGAAACAAAAATAAATCTATTTTGTCATCCTTATTGCGGTTTTTATATATAAAAAAAACAACACCTGTGACTAGGCATAATTTATTCTTCTTCTTTCTGGAATGCTACATGAACAGTATCTTTTGATCAATATATACATCATTGTATTAAGAAGTCGTTTGAAAATGAAAGCACATTGAACACCTGAAATCCTAAACGTATCTCAAGGAAATTTATTCGAGCCTTCACAATAGTTTGATCAATGAAATTTTGATAACACGATATTTAGACTAAACGTCATTCTAAATATTCGTATAAAATACATTGCGTAAACATACATGTGTTGCGTTAGAGTAGATATGTTACGTCACTGTTAATATATATATATATATAAACTTTACGTGTGACAACGTTTGAGATATGTATATTTCTCTTTACTTGTTAGTCCCTGCTTAACGTTCAGTATACAACTGGTTCACCCGTTGTCAGAACGATGTGACCGAGCGGAATGTTGTGTTGGGTGCCTTCGGCATGCTATTTCAGTGAGGCAGCATTTTAAAGTCAACAGATGTTCCGCGATATCTCAAAGAGGCAATTACCCCCAACATACCCTGCCTCCAGCACACAAACACACATGAACGCATATGGAGGCACGTCCGTAAATGACTTTAGCTGTTGATAGGCATTAAACCTTTAACCAAAACATACCAAAACAACAGCTTTTGTCATATTTGTTGTCCTAATAACCCAACAAAACTGAGCTTACATATCTACGGGTTTAAATTATGTAATAATTTTATTTCTTTTTATAGAAATAGTCCCCAAAAAAATGTGTGTTTACACATAGGACCACGGAACCAAATCAAAAATATATTGTGGGCCATTCCCTTTTGGGCAGAAGATTTGATAGGAAAGTGAATGCCTCGGGGCCTGCTGGTTGGATATTTAGGTGGCAGAAGTTTCAAAAGTGTTTTGTGTGGGTTAAGCAATATATATAGATGTAAAATGTATAAACACAAATTTGAATTTGTCAAGTCTGTTTTTGTCTGAGGGAGTTTATTAAGTGTGTAATTTGTTGTAAGTTTTGGTCGATTTTTGGTGCCGAATTCACTCAAAATGGCGGCTCCCACATAAAAAAGGTGTTAAAAATGGTAGATTTTTTTTTACTATTGTGTGAGATGACATTCTTCAAAATGAGGGCAGATGAACCAGTGTTGATAACCCCATTTAACCAGGACAGTGGTAAACGTTAACACTATCGTCTATGGAAAATCATCTGGTTCTGTGGTCCCTATAGACTAGATAACAACACTTTGAAAGCTGAGTCACGCTGTTGAATGGTAGTAAACAACATGACTACGAAGGCTAGCACGAACATCTCGCTATTTTCACAGGGAAAAAAATAAAATAAAAATATATTATATGAATAAAGCGAAAGTATAATTTATGATAGTGTTGACATGTCAAGCATACACTTACATTTGTTTCTACGAGAACGGACCATAAACCCTTAATGTACACAGTTTTGTATAAAATCCCGCATGTTAGTTCTAATAGTAGGTTATCATTGTTATTATCATAGCTTGCCAAAGAGAAAACAACATATTTAGCAGACACATAGTACAAAAACGAGAGAATAAAAATATGCTCTAACGAGGTTTGGTTGTGCATGTGTTCTAAAGCATCTTTTTAAAGAGATTTCTCCCTACAACGAAATAACAAAGTGCCCTCTAAAACGAAGTTTCAATGTAACATTAAAACTAAAGCGATACCAGAACAAGATTATATTGTCTGAAATACCGAAAAGATTAATAACACCGCGATAACCTGCATATAAAATTCAAAGAGTCCAAAACATTGATGATCTTCTGCACACAAAACTTAAGAGTATACTGAAACGAGTTTCTATTGAACACAGAACTGAAGAGTATGGTTAAAATAGATTCTATAAACAATGAACCAAAGCATTAAGTAAAACAAAATTACACTGTGAACCGATTCCACTTCACACAAAATATATGGAACTGAACTGTAGAGTTTAAAGAGGTTCCTCTCATTCTGTCACAATTTAGAGAACGATGGATTGTCTACGCCTTTCGTTTCAACGGCTGATTTCTTCCATTCCTCAAGGACTTTTACCATCTTGCAAAGGTGAAGAATGTAAGCAAACAACAGAAGACACACCACAGACATAACAGCTATACCAATCCAAAACGCCTTCATCCCATCCCCATCTGTAAGTAAACAAACGGGTGGAGTTACAAATGGAATTTCTTTTTTTTTTGGGGGGGGGGACTAAAACATCATTTCGATTAATCATTAGGGATACATTATTTTTACTCTATCATATCTCGAATATCTTAACAATTTAAGGTATAATAAATAGTTTATATTAAAGAAACATTAAAACAGTAAAATGATCTACGAGTGATAAAAAACAACATGATAATTCAAACACGTACCGTCTGCGACCACTTCAACCTCTTCAATCTGTGTGACGATTTTAGTAACCGGCGACGAAGTTGTCATGTCCCTATCATTGGTGGCATGTTTGCGAGCACGATACTCTGACGGAAAGTTGTGACAGATGGGAAATCCGTCAGGAGGAGGGGGATGCATTTCATAAGAGTTGTTTATGTACATCATCATTCCGTCGTTGGCATGCAGTTCGATGTGGCAATGCATCAGCCATACACCGGGGTTGTCGGCCTTGACTCTTATGACTGCATATCCGCCGCTAGGTATTATAAGTGTATCCTTTCGTGTTGGATAAGAGAGTTCCAATCCAGGTACGTTGTCGCCTAGCCAGCTCGGATCGCTCCATGTGGCATCGTTACAGAAATGCCCACGACAATCGATATCAGGATTCGGTGCTATGAATTTTGCTGACGTCTCGTTGTATGTTGCGTAACCCATTTTCAGAACATAGAACGAGTAACCATGTAGATGGATCGGATGTGACCATCCGGTTCCGACTCCCATGTTAAGGATGACGAATTGTACAACGTCATTATGATGCAGGGTGAGTGAATGGGAGCACTGACACAGTTTTTCCGAGCCGCAGTCTTGGTCATCACACGAAGTATCGATCTCAAATGGCTGGGTCAGGGCAGATACCTTGGGAAATTTGAATTGTCTTCCATTGACTGACGAAGGGAAGTTATCTATTCCAGGAAATGCAAAGTTAAGGAAGTGTTCAACTAGCGCTTCGTTCCCAGTAGGTACCGGTGCTGGATCGTTGTCGAACAATGATCGTAACTGTGCAAAAAGCATGCAATCAGTGAAGGTGCCTGCTGGAAAGTTTGTGAACGGACAATTCACGACTAGACACCGGTCTGTTGGCGTACAGATTTTCCTAGAAGAAGTCGGTTCCTCGTCGCCTGCTCCACTATAACGTAATATCGCCTTTGCCTTGTGTGGGTTCGGGTATTCAATGGTCTCAGCCCGAACCCAGTAGTTTGCTATCGGTTGCTCGGCTACAATGAAGAAGTCGTATCTTTCTCCGGGATTGATGATGAAAGATTCGGCAACTACTGGTTTGAAGTCGAAGCCATCAGAAGCTGTTAAAGTAAGACTGTGATTGTCTATAGCGATCCGCATTGGATACAGTGCTCCTGCATTGACCACACGGAATCTGTATGTATTTCCAAACTGCACATTATACATGGTCAACGGTGCAAAGTTATGATCGTCTTTCGTCAAGTTAGGATAGTAACGCCCCTTCCCATTGATCAGTGCTGAGGTTAGGAAAAAACGACTAAAAAATCCACCATCCACCGATTCGGTTGTTGGCATCTGTTGACGTTTCTCAAAATGACCCATCTGCATTTTCTTGAAGTCCAAATCTGAGCTTCGATTATGGTTGAATCCTTGAACGACCATGATGTGTTCAGATATGGTTGAAGAAGGTTCTTTTATCACGAATGCTCCATTCAATCCATTTGATCGCATAGATCCCGTATGCGCGTGGTACCAAAAGGTACCCTTTGGTTCGGCAATGAAGTCATAAGTGAACGTCTGACCTGAGAGAATTGGACACTGTGTAATGAAAGGGACGCCGTCCATCCAAGGAGTTTTATGCTGTGGGAGACCATGCCAGTGTAAAGTAACTGTGTCAGAAGGAAGCTTATTGGTGACATCAATTATGAGTCGTTGGCCAACGTATACGATGATCGGTGGGCCCGGCATACTGTTGTTTGCAACCACGACGAGTCGCCCTACTTCATACCCGTCGCCAGTTATCACGCCCTCTAGTGGGATTTCAGTGGCGTTGTCAGGGTAGTCGACGTCGAAACGATATAGCTTGCCCATGTGCGGGTACACCTTCCGGTGGACCTTGTGCATCATTGTTATTCTGTCTTCTATTACCAAGGAGGTCCTACACACGGTCGCGGACTTATCACACTCGTAGCCAAAGCTGGGCCCCATAACCAGGAGCAGCACAATAAGAGCAAAAGGACCCAAAACCTGAAGAAAATAAAACAGTCAGCTCATTTCTTAGCTGTTTGAAGTGTTTGTGATTCAGATATTTCTAATATTTACTGATAATACTAACACAAATCAGATAGTTTAGATAAAGGAAAAAGTATACAGTGATGTCATATCACAAGACGGTTTATGCAACAAATATGTTTGGTTGGTAAAAACACCTCAGGAAAAAAATATTTTAGACCATCGACTGCTCAAATGTGAAGGAAAAGTACGGAATATGGCTAAGCTTTATGTAATTCATGATGGTGTATGTCTATATAATGCATGCATGATTAGAAACTTTAATAGTATCCACAGTTCCAAAGGTTAATTTTAATTCACCTTTTCATGCACAATAAAGTTTTCGTTTTTTAGTGTCTTGCTATCTTTTCTTTTCACATTCTTTATTCATTGTTGGCTTTCGACGTACCCCAAGGGTCTTAGCTGTACTGGATATCGAAAGTCGACATATGTGACAAATCTCCCTACAAATCTATATGCAGATGATTCTGAGCAATTATATACATAAATATATTAGTACAAATTTGTGCATGCTTTGTTCTAGTATGCTAATTGGTTTGTTAAATACATTTGAATTAAAAGCTATACCAAGCAGTTTCTGCAACACCAGCTGTTTGCCTCGCTTGTCGAAAAAATACTATTCCTGCGTTTAAAGGGGAGAAGTGTAGGTGGAATTATATAGTTCTGGCGGCACAATTACAGTTGATGTGTGTGGGCTAGCTTTGTTATCACAAAAGAATTGTAAAGAAATTATAAAAGACCACTGACGACCTGTATCAATAAATAAAAAATCTCTAGAAGGAGTAGTAATCAATATTTACACAAAAAACTACTATATAAAGTATGTGTTTATGAGTGAGAAGACCACTGGTAGGCAGCCGCCGTATATGAGCGAAATGGGAACCGTTGTATGCATTAGAGGTATAAAGTGGGGATAAGTTATCAAGGATTGGTATTGCTCTACATTACATGAGTAATTCTTCGTTCCTTTATCGAACAAAAGTCGGTGAGATATTAAACAAGCGATCTAATGAATGATGAATTACTCATGAAAATATTGTTGAAACTTGAGTTACAAAATAATTAATTATACTTTGAGGAGTAAAATTGTCAGACTGAAAATACAGTACAGTGAGCTGAGGATAAGTGGCATTAGTGGCATTTGGCCTCTTATGTCAAGAAATAAAATATATGCAGTCGCGGAAATCAACATTTTCGGTACATTTGTTTTTTAACCAACCGGTTCTTGATACAGTTTTTAAATCATCATTTTAGTTGCTTCGCAATTGCATTGACACTTTTAAGTTATATATCATGTCTTTACTACGTTAAAAGAATTGAAGCATAACATTTGTTCCATAACAATTACAGTAGGAAAGGTAAGATGTGTATTGTGTCGCATGGAACGAAAAGTAATAATAACAACAATCCTTTCTGAACAGTAAGCAAGGGAAATACAGTATTATTTTAAATCGTTAATTTGTTGAAACACAATTAAGGACAAACTCATCGCAAGTGTTTTAACACATGAAGTAGTAACGAGAAATACAGAGTAAACAAGCACCTATTCAAAATTTAGTTCTGGAATTTTGTTTGCAGAAAGCAAACACTTAGTTAACATCTTAATGTACCAGATGGCCATTCCGTTCATACGTAAAAAAGTAGGAAAGAATGAATAAAGTTTTCCGAATCATATGTAAAATACAGCCAACAGGTAAAGGTTAACCTAATTCCCTTCATAACATTACAAATGTACGACTTTGTACCACAACATATGTTTTATTCCTAAATTAGTATGTCATGTAACAGTGCCAGCATCGATTTGAGTTACTATGCTACAACTTGTGTTTGGGACTGATAGCCATACAGCAAAACGGGAAGACAATATTTGTAAATTGAAAACAAAATAAATAATATGTAAAATAAACAAAAAACAAAAATTACCCCATGTTATACAACTTACCATATTTGTTCTGGGTATGTTTTCGTTTCATGCAACTGGTCCCGCTTTCTTCAAAACAAAAACGGCGTATGTCAGCGACAGGTTTTTCACTTTTATAATGATGTTTCTGCTTCGTTGGTCTGCAAAGTTAAAATAATACATAAATACTGTACATCTTCCCGTATAACTTACTTTTTAAAATCTAAATACACAAAGATGAAAGAAATGTGTTCATGTAAGAAATAAATAGACACTTTAGATACTCCAATTTTACCGAGTTGTCCAATCTTTAAATAAGATCATATACCAATACACTGCCACCAACGCAATAAGCCAATTTTGTTTTTATATCCACTTACACATTAATTGTTATGGAAATTTCTAAAAAAAAAAAGTACATATACTTCCTTACTTTATAATGGCAAAATTGTTTGGCTAATGTTGACATACATGTTAAAGGTTTTAACGGGGATTGATACAAGTGCTTCCTTCTCCTGTTCAAAAAGTAAGTTTGCGGATTTAAGATTGTAACTAGTCGCTTTACTTATATTAGTCAGGGGTAGTGAATAAGCTGTGACGTGCCAATCAAGTAAGTTAGGGGAATTATTTTATTATTACTTTTGTAAGGAAAGGGATTTATTTCTTCATTTCCATAATCACACTTGTCAAAGAGTTCGACAGTAACTGTCATTGACATAATGTAAGTAAATGTCATTAAGTTTGATAGTGAGTTTCCCGTTGTTGTCATACCGTAGGTTGACGTCAACAATGAATCTAAAAAGGAGAATTTGATGTCCTTTAAATATAAACTCCTAGGGTATGAACAGGATTACGAAACTACAAAACAATAGTAATATCGAAACATTGAATCATAAATATCACATACATTTCATTAAGGTTGAAGCAAAAGTTCAACTGATAATCACGACTCTCCGGTAACGCGTGATTTCATGAAAGTGGAATTCACAAACAAGGTGATCGATGTCATTAACATCAGTAAGATCCTACATCAAAAGGCAGTCCTATATTCCATGCCACCGTACTTGTGATACAAAATACCCCATTAATTCCCCACAGTTTATCCAATCCATTGCTTCCAAACTGTTCAACAACAAGCAAACGCTTTAGCAGCTATAGATGACCTGGTACTAACTGTTCTTTCAGCATGTTCTTGCGTCACGTCCCCGACCTACTATAGTCCGGCTGGACATGAAGTCGCTCCCAATCTTAACATTATCCATATTGCAAAGCTACGAGAGATTATCGTGAAGGGTCCTTAGTATCGGGAGACTCCTGCTATCAATTGGATTACTAATTCAAAAATACTTTTCGATTCTATGGAAGACTAAGCCAGACAATTGAAATGGAACATGCAGAATTGGACTCACCCTCGAGTTGGTCAAATCTACCATGTCAATCGTTTAAAGAAATGAAAACAAAAAACAAATCTGCATTTCTTGACCAGATTGCACGCAACGTTCTGCATGATAGGTATATTGATGTTGGTGCAGACAAAGTATCTACTAATTTAATCTTTGTCTGCACACATGTATACAGTATCTGCTTGCAATACGAACTAGACTTGCTGGATAGCCTTAATATACATTTTCCATTTTTTCGAAAGACGAAAAACTAGCAAATCACACTTCTGTATTCTAAAGATAGGCATATGGACCTCCTCGTTTGCAGTGGATTCTAAAACTTCACAAGAATCCTTATAAACAATGTTTTATTGCTGGCTCTTTAGTTGCTCAACCCAGCCATTATCAGAACTTCTCATTACCACCACTTGCAGTACCATTAAATCTTGGTTACAGTCGTTTTGTGATACTATGTACTAAAGAAATGGAATAAATGGTGTGTGGATTTTAAAGAATTCAAAAGATCTTTTGATTAATCTTGAATATCCAATTCTCAAAAATCTTTCCTCTATCAAAACTTAAGATATCGCCTTAACAATTCTTTGGGCAAATTTACGTAAAGGAGAGTGCGTGCTTGTTGAGCTAATGTGCATACTTATGTTATGTCTCAAAAACAAATTATGTGTCAATTAGCAGCTTAAAGTCCAAAACGAAAAGAAAACACTGTCTGTCTTTCCTTTTCCCGATGGTTAAACACACACTTAGCGATCTCCATGATAAGTATTTAGTTGAATCTGCAGATAAAACATCAAATAGTGTAACCCTTGTCTGCAAACACTAGACATTAGATTTCCTGCTTGCACACAAAGCTAAGCTTGCTTGATTACCAAGAGAAATCTTACCTTTACATTTTCACATATGTTCTACTTGCAACCAATATTGAACTTGCATTTCAGTTTAAAGGCCGGGTTGTTTACTTGACTGCGTCAAATTTCAAAGATCTGCATAGCAAGACTGCTATCCGCATGTATAGTATAACTTAACCAAGACAAATCGACCACATACAAGTTCGCCATGTTCTAGAAATTAAAGCACATATACATGGTTGGTTGAGTCATATCGCGCCTCACAACAATAATAATGGGCAGAATATTGGTCAAATATTATAAGTATTTTTCTTTAATTCAAAATTGATGGTATAGACAAGTTTCACGTAGATATTCCAAAATCTTTGACAAATTAATTGAAAGGAAAAATGTTTTCATATCAGGCATATCATAAGATTTGTCTCGGATCCGTCTAAAATCGGCACACTCGATCAAGATGTGAGGCACGGCCATATGTTTGCCAAATGAACGGCAAAGGGGCTGATCCTTCCGCCGAAACAATTCCACATAAGTGTGCTATTTACTTCATGTGCAAAGTCACGGGAAGGAAACATCTCTCCGGTCTACTCCAATGGAGATTTTTGAACCCACCGTGGGTTGGATAACAAAAGGTTTATTGTCAATATCTGACCATCTTTGTTGCCAGTTATATATGATGAATATGTGGTAACATCTTGTTTTAAATCAGGGTTAGATATTGTTTGTCTGATTGGTTGCAGATTAGGTGCTGCTTTATCAACGCGTTTTTTGGAATTCCGACATTACTAGGGACCTACAGAAACGTTATGTTACAGTATTCCGCAATAAAGTTGACATAAAAGGTAAACTACAGCATGTGACTGCTATCAAATTTGCAAGAATTTAAACTTTGAGAAACAACTAACGAATCATAACATTTTATAGCTTTCCCGACGAGTTTGTTTTCGATATCACTTAATGCAAAACGGATGGCTGCTATTTCTGCTCGAACAAGCAATAGGCGCACTATCAAGAAGCCGTCAGGATGAAGTTATGTCGGTATTAACGCAAGCTGCAACATTGCTACCTTCCTTGGAACCATCAGCGTACATGGGTATGTGACAGGTGCTGATATGTGTATTCTTGAATGTAATGTCTACATTCATGGGGATAAGTTTAGGTTTTTTTGTGCCAGCATAGCTCCACATTTGAGGTTCAAAATGTCAATAGAGGAATGTCGAGTATGGTTTTGCATTTTATGAGAGAAGGATGTAAATTAGTCCAGTCGATTTATTTCAACAACAACCAACATTTTTGCTGTTATTATACATATCACGTAATACTTAGCTTGGGAAAAGGCCATGTTTCGGTACTGTTTTTCTTTTTTCTGTTTTTTGTTTCTTCATTTTGACATTGTTGGTGTTATCTGTAACACTAACAATATCGATGAATTTTGTCAACGCAACGATACCGCGCCAGCTCCCTTAAGGTCTCTTTTTATTTGATGCGGAAATCATTCCGTTGTGTGACTGTGTCAGTAAGCATTGGCTAAGAATACGATCCATGAGCGTCGTGGACAACATATTAAAAAAAATGTATTTAATTAAACTGCTTCATTATTTATCAAGATTTCAATAATACATATTATTTTTCGCAATTATAGCCTGTGTAGTTTACGAACTTAAATATGTATTGTACCTTATGTTTCATTCAATAATACTTTCTCAATACACAACATAAAGAGCACCTTATTTTACAAAGTGGTTAGCAGCAAACACAGATAATATAATGAATGCTTCATTTTAATGGAATATGGAACAAAAAAATCATGAATGGAGGTATGACGCTTGGAGGGTATCTTCTGATATTTTAGTTCATAAATGATGTCTAAGAATGTCGGTCTATAGGGAGGGGACATAACCAGTGCCTTTGCAATAAGCAATTTATTGATTTTCTAGCTTCATGCAGGTGAGATTTAACTTGCCAGAGTGATACATGCCTAGGTCTTTATTACAGATAATGCTACAGTTTTTTAAACAGTCTTTACATCAGAATCTACAGGTAAACGTATCTATTTTTATGTTTCAACATGTGTTGCATCAGATTCAATAACAAAAATATGTGTTGCACGATAGCGAACATGCACATTTTAAAACAAAATGAAGGAAAACAATGGTACAGTGCAACTTCTATGTTTTGTTTTCACTACCGATCAATATTCTTTACTTAAATTTTTACTATGAAATGGTTTTATCTGGCATAGTTATAACATGGTGAAATCATCACTCTGGTCTCTTAGTACACGGGCAGATTATATCTTCTCCTTTATATCTCACCATTAAAATAAATTCATGAACTGACACGGTAATAACAAGATGTATACATGTTATCGTTACATAACACTGGTTATTGACTCTTATATATTTCCAGAGATCTGAGATGAACAAATAAAACCAGAAATTATCAACTAGACGTAATACTTCAGTTAACGTACCAATTATCAGTCAATTACATGGTATTTAAATTCTCGGTTATAAATAACGTTATAACACATGTACAACAACAACACAGCGGTTTTTGTCGAGTAATAAAGTGAAAAACCATTCACACTAGTTGCTAAACACATCGCAATCAATCATTTTTATTCAAAATTTAAAATAGCGTAGATACAAAAGGTGTACGTTTAGATAAAAACACATTGAAATAGAAGGCAATGTTCCAAAAAATTAGCTAGATGAAAAAGTAATTTACTAGCAGTGATTTGATCAGAAGCATTTTATTTTATTTATTGAATTATTTTTATGAAACCTGATTCGCGATTACATACAAACAATTGATTAAGTTTTCTCCAAATATTATATGCAATCTTAATTTGTCATCAAGTGATTGCATTTTGATTTCTATATAATTTTAATGATAAGTTCTTCCGGGTCTAATATTGTGTTTTTACAAGAGTGACGAAATCGTGGCATGATCACTATGGATACTTAAATGCTACCACACAATAACTTACTTCATAGCAGTGATAAATGGGGTACGTAAGTTCAAGGGGAATTATTTTCATTTTTTTTTATGTTGATTTTTTGAACTTTTTGGATACTTGTTTTAAAATGTCACCCCCTGATCATGATATATTGTTTATTTAGGCGTCATTTTTGGTAGGTTGGTTTATGGCGTCAGACTGCAATGCACTTTCTGTGTTATGTTTTTATCCTGTCAACATAGCTAAAAATAACTGATGAACCTCTTTAGTGGTGAAAGCGCTAGGGAGGTACTAGGAATCTCTTGTCATCTTTATAACATAATATATAAAATCAAATTGTATTTAGATAAAATCTATAACACAAAGCACGGACATTTCTGTAGTGACACATTGATTTTTTTTATAAAATATGCAAACTTAATGACTCACAAATGATCTTGTAACAAAATCCTTAAAACACGAACACATCACTGTATGGGTAACATACACTCAAGGACACGTTGCACCGATCAAACGCTTACTAAGGAAGTCTTATGTATTTTTCTACGCATTGATTCCAAATACCAGGGGGATTTTATAAATTTGAGTACGCCAAATCGCTTGCATGCTCAGAATTTCAGCTTTTCAACAAACCCGGAAGTCCGATCTCATACCAATGATATTTTCTAAAACGTATTGATTTGTTATTAATTTAACACTCTTAAACAAAATATCATGCATGGACTAGCGAGCTATGCATTTTTGGACGATTCGTCAACTTTTTATAGGAAGTCGCGGGATTCATCCTTGGTGAAAATACTTACATTATTGTGCGAAAATCTCTTTAATTTTGATGTTTATTTTTTGTAATGTATAGTAATTATTTGTCTGTCTCTTATATATCTTGCTAAAGGATCGGGCCACTCCCAAACATTTGGCATTGTTTTGTCCACACTGTCGACATCATTAAGTTTCTAGTATATATCTATAGCGCAGCGAGTTTTTCGAAAATACCGTAAGTATTATCACCCAGGATGAATCCCGGGAAATCCTACAAAATGTTGGCAAATTATCCAATATCCAAAGGTTGTTTCTGTACGATATCTGTCTAAAGGCACAAACAAAAAGGATGCTAAAGATCTATATATAACACACACAAAAAAATGGCATTTGATAACATTTTATCCATTTTAAGAGAAAATGATATGGAAAAGGGAACATGAAAGTATAAAAAGACTAGCATGATCTTGAAAACATTAAGGAGGATACTGACTATCAAATATCTATTAGATGACATGTACCATATCTTTAACTTTTAGACTGCCAAAAACGCGACTCTTTCAGTTTGAAGTGTCTACAACTGTTTTGTCAACTGTGACGTTGAGATTATTATGACGTCTAGGTATTGAAAGCGCTGTGCTAAAACCGACGTTGCGAAATTACACGCATGTTCCATATATAGCGCTAACCAATTTAACTATATAACGTCAGCTGTTTTACGGCGTACGGCCTATTTGAGTATTTTTCGGTGAACTTTTGATTCATGAGTAAAATGCATGTATGAAATATCGTAATATTTTAGTGGTCATAAATATTTATTTTCATTTCATATTCTAAGAAAACACCGTATTTCTTTACCGCTGCAATATTTAAGCACTTGTCTATTGCAAAGTCAACTTAACATGAAGAGATTTATTTTTAGATCTGTGACCTTGTCCTTTGATATTATGATCATGAGTTTGTTTGCATACCATGCGTGCGTTGTCCTCTAATACATACTGAAATATGAATGTTATATCTTTATTCGTTCTTGAGATAGAGTGTTCACAAGATATGTGGAAATAAGAATAAGAAATTTAAAGAAAAAACATAACAATACCAATAGGTATTTCCATCCGAAATAGAAATCCCTAATTAAGAGATTTCGGGTTAGGAGTTGACAACTTCAGGTTAGAGGTTAACCCTAACCCTCGTTTATGAGATATCTCCCAAGGATTATTGAATTTTGCTGTTGTTTTTGCGAACGTCAAAACAAATCAAATTAAATATTTGTATACGATAATACCTATCTCAACATCATGATGGTTACAATTCAGGACTGCCTCTCTTATTTTAGAGACGGTATACTACACAACTACTAACAGTTCATCTGTAGAATAAGATGGCAGCCTTCTTCAAGTAATCAGCCCTATCTTGAATACAGTTTGCATATTGGCAAATACTTACAAAGTACAATTGAAATGCGTAGAGAGTGAAGCCCTTGGATTTCTGGATTCCGTTTGTTTTAATGCGACTTAATGCTGACTTACAACATTTTAACTATTACGTTTGTTGCGATAAATGACATGAGCATTTTTTTGCTGACATGGGTTAAATGAGCAAACGTTAAATCAATTTCTTCTGTATGTTATAAATAGGTCTCGAGTTGTGACATGTTGCTAGTGACTTGCAGGGATAACACACTATCAACTATGCTAAATTAGATGGCATTGACTAACTTTGAAGGTCATCGACTCTGTTGGAAATGCCATCAATCAGGGACTTGACATGGCAGTTTCCAGAGAAATAGATAAGTGTGACGTCATATAGGTATAGATTTGACGTATACCTGGTGAATATTTGACACAATATATAGTGACGCTTTATGGAGAAACAATACTCTTACACTTTTCGATTAATGTGTTGAGAATTGATTTCAACCACGTGTACTCAGATCGGACTGATCAGCCCATCGGTCCAACGTCAGTTAACGGAACAAGTAAATCGGCCCTATCAACCCCCACCCAACTCACCCACCCCGGCAGTTTATTTGACATGTGAATTGGCGTGCTATGATGACGTCATATATTCAGCGAATCGTTGCGACGGCATTTATTTGTACGTCATTTCCTCTATCTTCAAAGACGCAAGATGAACGTTACTGGAAACAGTCGTTGACTTGCGCCCTTGAAGAAGGTCAGGGGGTGAAATATTGGGACTGTTCTATATTTTCTATCTTTTTTCCACATTGGAAATCAACGAAGTAAGGAAGGTGTATACTGGAATCACTCTGTCTGTCTGTCTGTAGAAAAACAATAGTACCTCCAACTTCTTCTAGGTTTTTGTATAGATTTTAATGAAACCTTGCACACATGTTATACCTCAAATGAACTCTTGTCTCCCAGAACGCCATTATATTACTTCAATATTTACAAAAAGAACGGCCCTATAATTTTGTAGACGGTGCATTACGGCAATGAAAAGGCTAATTATCTCGGAAACGGTAGGCATTTTGTATACACACCTACATTGGAATATTGTAGGGATTAATAAAAGCTACCCCACTGAAAAACTTCCGGGGTATTGGGGTCAAAGGTCAAAGGTCAAGAATGAATTAAGTTACTGAAATGACTGAATATCTCGGAAACGGTAGGTATTTAGTATACACATATACATCGATATATTGTATGCATAAATGCAATCTACTCTATTGACAGCTTACGATGTCGTTGGGTCAGAGGTCAAAGGTTACGAATGAATTAAGTTACTAAAATGGCTAATCATCTCGGAAAAAAATGGTATTTCGTAAAGAGAAAAACGATTGCGTAAAAAGTAGGTATTTTGTATACACATATACATTAGAGTCAATTGTAGCCAATTATGCAGGCTTTATTATGACAAACTTCCAAGGTCATGATGTCTAAGGTCAAAGATGTATTATGTTACTGAAATGGCTAATTATCGCAGAAACGGTAGTTTTTTTTTGTATACACATACCATGGAGTAAATGTAGCACTGATGCAAGCTACATTGTGACAAAATGCCAAGGTCAATTAGTCAAAGTTCACAGTAGTGGCCTTTTTTCTTTTCTATCGGTTGGGCGGAATGACATCTGAGGTTAAACTTGTTCATGACCCTTGATATTTCTATATATTTTTCTCTTGTTTATTTAGCCCCTATAGGGGCAACAAGCAGCCGTAATGCGGGGGTATTAGTTAGCCCATAGGCGACAGTTCTAGTTATGTTTCAAAATATGTTACATCAGGTTCAATAACAACAAGGTGTGCTGCACGATAGAGAACAGGTACATTTTAACACAAAAGGAAGAGAAACAATTGCATTAAACAAAGAACAGCTTCATTTTACATGTAAGTCGTTCATGGAATTTATCATCTACACGGTGAAGAATAACTGACTAATCCCATTTTTTAGTTGTGATGTTTGGCACTCACATCCGTTTTATTTACGTGAACTATCTGGGACATTATCGTCCATTTCTTTTGTCGTGTCTGACAAGGGGAACCTTGCAAGTACATACACTTTTATTGTAATTTGTCACCAACCGCGTACAAAGTCCCGTTACAGGACAATAGTACAGTGCATCCTCTATGTTTTGTTTTTACTAGCGATCAATAATCTATACCTAAATTTTACTATGATATGTTTTTATCTGGCATGGTTATTACATGGTTAAATCATGACTCTGGTCTCTTAGTACACAGACAGGTTATATATTCTCCTATATATCTCACCATTAAATACATGAACTGACACGGTAATAACAAGATGTTTACATTTTGTCATTACATAACACTGGTTATTGACTCTTTTATATTCCCAGAGATCTAAGATGAACACAATAAAACCAGAAATTATTAACTTGACGTAATACTTAAGTACATGTACTAATTATCAATCAATCAATTAAAGAGTTGTACATACCTAAAGGCTACGTGGTGATTTCAATATCTTGGTACCCGGGTAGTTTGTATATCACCAATGTATCACCATTGACGTACACACACCATGTGACACGATGATATTCATATATGTTTATATATATATATATATTATACTGTTCTTTACATTTATAATGTAATCCAACCACGTGATTGATATTCCGGTAACATGACTCGCTACATGGTATTTAAATTCTTAAAATATTTATAACACATGTACAACAACACCACAACGGTTCACACTAGTTGCTCAACACACATCGCAATCAACCATTGTTATCGAAAGTTTATAATGGCATAGATAAGAAAGATTTACGTTTAGAAAAAAGCACATTGAAATAGAAGGCAATGCTCCAAAAAAAAAAAAAATAGTATTTCAATATCAGTGATTTGATCAGAAACATTTTATTTTATCAATGAATTATTTTTATGAAATATGATTCGCGATTGCATACAAACAATTGGTATAGTTGATTTAGGTTTTACCAAGTAATATTTGCACTCTTTATATTGCATATCGATTTTTATATAATTTTAATGATAAGTACTTCCGGGTCCAAGATTGTAACTTATACTAGAGTGACGTAATCGTTACATGTTTACTTTGGATACTTCTATGCTTTCACACTACCCATTTCACAGCAGTGATTAATGGTGTACGTAAGTCCCAGGGGGATTTTATAAGTTTTAGTATGCCAAATCGCATGCATGCTAAGAATATCAGTCTTTTAACAAACCCGGAAGACGATCTCATACCAGTGCTATTTTCTAAAATGTATTGATTTGTTATTAATTCATTAATTTAACATTCTTAAACAAAATATCATGCATGGACAGTACGGGTTTAAGGACTAGCGAAGTCGCAGGATTCATCCTGGGTCACATACTTACATTATTGTGCGGAAAACTCTTTAATTTTAATGTTTATTTTTTGTAATGTATAGTAATTATTTGTCTGTCTCTTATATGTCTTGAAAAAGGGATCGGGCCACCCCCATTATTTTGTCAACACTGTCGACATCATTTAGTTGTCTAGTACATATCTATAGCGCAGTGAAGATTTCGAAAATTACCGTAAGTATTATCACCCAGGATGAATCCCGGGAATTCCTACAAAAAGTGAACAAATCGCCCAATATGCAATGCTCGTTTTTTGTACGATGTCTGTCCAAAGGCACAAACAAAAAAGTATTTGAAAGATCTGTATATAAAACAAAAAATGGTATCTGATAACAATTAATCTATTTTAAGAGTAACTGATTTGGAAAAGGGAACATGAAAGTATAAAAAAAACCACTCTTGAAAACATTAAGGAGTATACTGACTATCAAATATCGATAAGATGACATTTGCCATATCTGTAACTTTTAGAATGCCCAAAAACTTGCCAGTTTGAAGTGTCTACAACTGTTTTGTAAACGCATGTTCCATATATAGCGCTAACCAATTTAACTATATAACATCAGCTGTTTTACGGCGTACGGACTATTTGTATTTTCCGGTGATCTTTTGATTCACGAGTATAATTCATGTATCGAGTATCGCAATATTTTAGTGTTAACAAATTTTTCATTTCATATCATAAGAAAAACACTGCTTCTCTTTACCGTTGCAATATTTTAGCACTTGTCTATTGCAAATTAAATTTAACACCAGATTTGATCAAGATCAAAACACGGGATTTCCAACAGGAAAATGAACAAAGAAATGTTCTCGGACTGACGATCGCTTTTATACGTTTCTCTTCGCTTCCCTTCTCTGACAAACCTTATGCAAGGACCTTATTCATACCATAGGGTCAGTTTATTCTGAATGGTCAGCAATGATAGAAAGCTGTTTAGCGTTTCTATCTTCCCTCCTCCCCCTCCCCTTTGTGGGGACGTTATTTACTTGAGGTAGTTGTGAATGTCAGCTCTGTTATTTGATCCAAGCGACACCAAACCCCAGTACACACAGTGATGGTCTGGTGATTGACAGCTCTGTGATTTTGACACAGCACACCAAACCCCAGTACACATGATGATGGTCGACAGGCAATGGTGATTGACAGCTGTTATTTGGAGCCAGGAACACTTAACAGAATGATACACAGTGACTCTGTGTATTGTAGACTGACTGGTCACCGAGAAAAGCCTGGTTAGCTTAACCAATTTATAAAATATAAACAGAACACTTTTACCTATTAAAACAGAAGCTATGAAAATATATCAGTGATATATTATGAATTATCATAATGAATGTATTTGGATATAATGAGTAAAAATAGAAAACATACAATTTAAACATACAGTGAGAAAATTGTTCCTGAAAATATTGAAGCTGACTATTATGCCTAGTAAATTTGGAAGATTTACCTTGTTTGTTGACAAGGGCAGATCTGCGATTCAATAGGACCACAGTAAGGGAGGGGACAGTCTCTACATAGTTTGAAGTAATGTGTGCTAGTCTACAGTAGCTGACTGAGTATTGTGGGATTCGCAGAGTGCGTGATGACGTCAGAGAAAGAATGGATACATATAGGCAGCCAATGGGCGGTGTTGTATACGAAGGTAGTCCGTAAAAGTCATATAGTCCCTTAACTATGTACATCGGGATGATGAATGAAACGAGCATTTTGTCTATATCAGTTCGGTTTGCCATGCCAAAGAAAGGCTGAAGTTTACCCACTGCAGTAGAGATGTAAACTATCCCTACTTCCATGATTGAAAATGCGTAGTAATTGATGTAGTACTACCGACGTGTATTAGATGTCTTAATATAAATCAAAGTACTGAGAGTACTGAGAAGCAAAACAATGACAAAATGGAAATCTTTAATCACAAAGTGGCATATCTTCGTTATTTTTGATGCTATGACCTTGAAACCTTGGAAATGCATTAATAAGAACATATCCTTTGCGATGTGATAAAAATTGAACTGATTTTGAGTTTTTTCATTTTTGACCTATATTTTACCCCATAGCGAGACTTTGAACTTGACATATTCTCTGATAACATGTCATAGAAAGAAGTTAGCCCCGACCAAGATCTATAAGAAATATGAAGCGTTTAAGCAGTACAACGAAAGCTTTCGAAGTTATGGTCGTTCGAAAAACGTTTTAAAAAACTCTATTTTTAGATCTGTGACCTTGTCCTTAGATATTATGATCATGAGTTTGTTTGCATACCATGCGTGCGTTGTCCTCTAATACATACTGAAATATGAATGTTATATCTTTATTCGTTCTTGAGATAGAGTGTTCACAAGATATGTGGAAATAAGAATAAGAAATTTAAAGAAAAAACATAACAATATCAATAGGTATTTCCATCCGAAATAGAAATCCCTAATTAAGAGATTTCGGGTTAGGAGTTGACCCTTTTCAGGTTAGAGGTTAACCCTAACCCTCGTTTATGAGATATCTCTTAAGGATTATTGAATTTTGCTGTTGTTTGCGCGAACGTCAAATCAAATCAAATTAAATATTTGTATACGATAATAACTATCTCAACATCATGATGGTCACAATTCATTACTTTCTCTCTTATTTTAGAGACGGTATACTACACAGATACTAACAGTTCATCTGTAGAATAAGATGGCAGCCTTCTTCAAGAAATCAACGCTATCTTGAAAAAAGTTAACATATTGGTAAATGCTTATTCCGTCTTTGCGTATTGCAGAGTTATCTTCTCTTGGGAGCAGGGATTGATTGTTTAGTTACTTGTTTGTGAGAGTAACGTCATCAATTTTGGAGAAAACGACGTAATTTTCTCCCACAGATCAATGACGTAACAATCAATACCTGCTCCCAAGAGAAGACAACTCTGCAATACGCAAAGACGGAATAAAGTACAATTGAAATGATTCGAGAGTGAAGCCCTTAGATTTCTGGATTTCGTTTATTATAGTATTGCTTAATGCTGACTTACTAGAATATTTTAACTATTACGTTTGTTGCGATAAATGACATTGAGAAAGGTTTCTGGTGACATGGGGTAAATGAGCAAACGCTAAATCAATTTCTTCTGTATGTGCTAAATATGTCTCGACTTGTGACATGTTGCTAGTGACTTGCAGGGATAACACACTATTAACTATGTTGAATTAAGTCACATTGATTAACTTTGAAGATCATCGACTCTTTTGGAAATGCCATTAATCAGGGACTTGACATGGCAGTTTCCAGAGAAACAGTTAAGTGTGACGTCAGAGAGGTATAGATTTAACGTACTCCAGGTGATTATTTGACGCGAAGTATAGTGAAACTTTATGGAGACGTAATATTCTTACACTTTTCGAATAATGTGTTGAGTATTGACTTAAACCACGTGGACTAAGATCGGCCTCATCGGTCAATCGGTCCGACACACACACACACACACACCTCGGCAGTTTATTGGACAAATAAATTAGTATGCCATTGCGACGGCATTCATTTGTACGTCATTTCCTCTACTTTCAATGAAGCAAGATGGACGTTACTTGGAACAGTCGTTGACTTTCGCCCTTGAAGAAAACCAGGGGCTGAAATATTGAGACTGTTTTATATTTAGTATCTTCTTTTCCCTTTGGAAATCATCTGTTGCAATGAAGTTAGGGATATTGGAATCACTCTGTCTGTCTGTCTGTCTGTCGGTATGTCTGTAGAAAAAATGTACCTCTTTCTTCGCCTTGGTTTATGTATGGATTTTGGTGAAACGTTACACACATGTTATGCCTCAAATGACTTGTGTCTCCCAGAATGCCATTATAGTTCTCTAGGCCAAAGTTATGGCCCTTTACTTTTTGCAATGAAGTTAGGGATATTGGAATGACTCTGTCTGTCTGTCTGTCTGTCTGTATTTCTGTAGAAAAAATGTACCTCTTTCTTCGCCTTGGTTTATGTATGGATTTTGGTGAAACGTTACCCACATGTTATGCCTCAAATGAACTTGTGTCTCCCAGAATGCCATTATATTTCTCTAACCCAAAGTTATGGCCCTTTACTTTTGTAGACGGTACATTACGGCAATGAAAAGGCTTATTATCTCGGAAACGCCAGGTATTTTGTAAACCAATATACATTGGAATATTGTAGGGATTAATAAAAGC